AGCAATGTAAGAAAGTACGATGGTTGGTTTTGACTGACAATCTGACACAGCATAGAGTCCCTGAGAAGGAATCTTGATTATCTTGATGAGACTGGTTCATGGGTACATCTATTGTGAAGGGGATCACCTTCTTTATGTTGATTAGGGTGGGATGACTTCCCCACTGTGGGTAGAATCCTAGCAACAGATTTTTTTTTGAACTGTAAGAGTGAGGGGAAAAACAGCTGAGTATTAGCATGGTCTCTGCTCTTGACTGTGGCTATGAGACCAGTTGCTTCAAGTTCCTGTAGCCTTGACTTCCACACAAAGATGGTCCTGCACCCTGAAATTAGGAGCCAGATGACCCTTTCTCCCTTAAGTGGCTTCACTGAGGGTATTTTTATCATAGCAACAGGAAATTAAACTACAGGATTTGTTTTAGTTCACAATATGAGGGTATAGAGTCCGTCGTGGCAGGGAAGGCATGGAGGCGGGGCCTGGGATGGCGGGTACGGCACATCAGCAGTCAGAAAGTCAAGAGTTATGAACACCGTTACTCAGCCAGCCTGCTCCTTTGTTCCTTTAAGGCCACGGGACAATTCTGTATCATGTTAAGCTGACAATGAAGATACTGCTGGAGGCACATATTTCAGTATAGAGAAAACAACGGCGTCAATGTGTGATCCTTGAAGCTGATGAGCACCTGGATCTAGACCCAGACTCCTGTTGAAGAAGTTTGAGGCAACCTTGGAGTATAGCTGTGATGCTGGGACACTGCCCTCCTGGTTCTTGTCAGTCAATCCTCTGCACTTCTGCATCTGCAGATGCAACCAATCAAAGACTAAAGTATCTGATAAAGCCGGGCGGTGGTGGTGCACGCCTTTATCCCAGGACTCAGGAGGCAGAGGCAGGCAGATCTCTGTGAGTTCAAGACCGGCCTGGTCTACAAGAGCTAGTTAGTTCCAGAATAGCCTCCAAAGCCACAGAGAAACTCTGTCTTGAAAAATCCAAAAAATATTTTTAAAAAGTATCTAATAAAACTGCATTGTACCAAACATGACCAAATGGTTTTCTCATCCTTCCCTCCACAATACAGCAGTATGACATCTGCAGAGCGCTCATACAGTATCAGATGTTATAAGTAATGTAGAGATGACTTAAAATATATAGGAACAGTGACAGGGGATGTTCTTCTGTGTGCTGTTAATATATGGTTCTCTCACTGGTTGATTAATAAAATACTGACTGGCTAGTAGCTTGGTAGGAAGTATAGGCAGGGCTACCAGACTAGGAGAATTCTGGGGAGAGGAGGCAGAAAGAAGCACCAGGGAGATGCCAGGTATCTGCCAAAGGAGTAACAGGTCTGGGCATTCTCCAATAAGCCAAGATGATGTGGAAATATTTAGATTAATAGAAATGGGTTAATAACTAAGAGAGAGCTAGCCAATAGGAAGCCTGAGCCATTGGTCAAACAGTTTCTCATTAATATAAGCCTCTGTGTGTTTATTTGGGTCCAAACGGCTGCAGGGCCAGGCAGAACAGAAACTTCTGTCATCAAATGGGACCAAATGTGGGGCCGAAGGACGACCCTGAGCTAGCTCAGTCGGTAGAGCATGAGACTCTTAATCTCAGGGTCGTGGATTCGGTCCCCAAGTAGGATGCCAAAATGTAAATGGAGTTCTTAATTGGCCTAAGTAATAAAAACCCAGAGTCAGATACTGAGGGAAACACTGAGAGATCATAGAGGAGTGAGCCACAGTACACCTTACCTCCTTAGCATCTCAGCAGACCAGAGAGTGATTTCCTGTTTCTCCCCACTTATATCCTGTTTCTGCCCAACTTACCTCACTTCCTGTCTGTCTGTACAGACCTCCAGACCTCTATGGTTAGCTAGTGGCAAGCTCCATTCTTTGACCTTCAGACAGGCTTTATTTAAGATACCACCACAGGATAGGGAGATGGCAGGTTTGGCAATTTCCAGCATCCAAGTCAATGCTGAGTGGGATGACAGCCTGTCTGTGACTTTATGGCCTGGAAGGTTGGCTAGCTAGTTTACTAGATGACACAGCAAGCTCCAGCTGAGAAACCCTGCTTCTGTGATAGAGGAGACTTCAGTCTTGGGTCTCTGCATACTTGCACATATGGGCACCTACACATTCACGACATGTACACTAATTACAAATATAGAAACATAAAAACACACAGGCTTATGGGCAAATACAATGTCATTTGATGGGTGTGAGCACCACGAGTCTTGGTATCCTGGGGGTGTCCTGGAATGAGCTCTCCCATGGACACTTACAACTTACAACTGTGGCAACCAAGATAAACTGCTGCTGTAAACTGATGACTACCACAGATGCCCACCTAGCCCATTGCTTTTTTGGGGGGAGGAAGGTCCTAAAAGACGAAAACGAGGGAAGGGGTGCACCCAGGACACCAATGGAACCCTTGGTCATTGCTCCAAGACCAGACTAAAGGTCAGTCAAATCCTGTGACATTTCAGAAGATGCCATGTCCTTTCTCACAGGGAGGACCTCTTCTGACACATGCACAACAAATCCCACCACTTTTATCTTGAGATCTGCCTTAAACAGTTCATAAACATAATGGGCTTGTGACGGTTTACAGAAATGCGCTCAGGAATAGAGCTGCGGACAATCTGTGAATACATAAATAGCCAACTGCTCAAATAGGCCAGTGGCACCCCCAGGAAGAACAGGCAGAAATCCAGATCTGTGTACATGGTGCCCACGGACTCCACCCAGAACACTGCCTCCCTCGTAATACCACACGCCGCCAACTCGTGATGAAGACAGTGCCCTGTCAGATACTCCTGTGAGGGAAGCTTGGATTCTCCACACCCATGAGAACGGGGAAGGAATGCTCACCAGGGCTGGGTTCTACGACCTCCCAGCAGCTTGCATCGGCAGGTCAGAATATAAAAGGATAAGAAGCACCAGGTAAGGATGCTTGCTGGAGAAGCCTGGCAAACGGAGTTTGATCCTTGGAACCCAAATAAAGGTGGAAGGAGAGAACAGAGCCCCACAGAGCTATCCTCTGACCACCACGTGCACACCATGGCATGTGTACAACTCCCACACTAATGACAAAAAAAAAAAAAAAAGGTGTAGCCGCAGAGCTATGAATGAACTCGGGGTCCACGTGAAACAGGGTATCTGATCTTGATAAGCAAACTGTCTCTTCGAATACCCAAGAATGAAGAGGCTTCCCTAACAAGGTTTAAGGAATATGAAATACAGGTTGTGTATCCCTGAGCTAAATGCCTGGAGTCTGAAGCATTTCAGATGTCAGATTTTAGGTTTAGGGTTATTTGGATAGATCTTATTAGTTGGGTATCCTTAATCCAAAGCAGCTCAAAACTGAGACTTTGTGGGTGCACGAAACCACTGCATACCCACTGTTTGTAAACTACACAAGCAGGGGCCATTTTCTCTTGCTGTGATTAAATACTGAAACCATAAGCTGAAATCTCAAGGAAGAGAGGGTTCACTTTCCCTTCTGGTTTCAGGGGGAGGGAGGTGAGCAATGCTCTAAACCCCAAAGCTGGCTCCCTGAGGCACACTTAGCAAGGCTCTGCCTGCTGAAGGTTCCACAGTCTCTCCTAACAGCACCACCAACTGGGGACCAGGTGTTTAAGTACAGGAATCCCTGGGGCCGTTTTTCATCCCAAACCGCAACACTTGGAAAATTAAAAAATTAATTAACTCTAGTTGTTTCTGAGAACCAAGCTGTGTTTCTTCAATGAAAAGGGAAGAGTCTGTGCTAACAGTGAACATGAAGGATGGACATTCAGAGTGGTAGTCCATGAAACATCACTAACGTGTATATGCAGAATATCACACAGAAAATGAAATACAATCTAAAGATCCAATCAGGTGCAGAGAATGTAGACACAGAACAATGTACAGGAGAAGTAAGCTTGGTAGTTGTGGTGTTTGATGAAACACAGGGATTCAGGAGTGTCTCCATTTGAGAGAGCAATGGCCCCATTTCTCAGTGCTTTTGATTTTAGCACACTTATGAATCCAACTACAGGTGTATAATTTCACTTTAGAAAAGGGCGTGTATTATTTTTTTATCATTTTTTTTATTTGAATTAGAAACAAGATTGTTTTACATGACAATCCCAGTTCCCTTCTCCCTCCCGTCCTCCCCTACCACCCCCCAACTAAAACCTACCTCTCACATATCCTTTCTTCTATTCTTCCCCTGACTCAACCTTTCTGCTCCCTCATGACCTCTGCATCCTTCCTCTTCTTCCCTTCTCATTCTCGTAGCTCCCTCCCCCCTCTTCCCGTGCTCTCAGTTTGCTCAGGGGACCGTGACCCTTTCCCCTTCTCCAGGGGACAAAGTTTGTCTCTTTTAGGGTCCTGAAAAGGGCCTGTATTTTGATAATTTGTATAAAGAAGGCTTTGGTTCATTTAAATAAATAAATAAAGCCCAGCACTCAGGATCATTTCTCTCCCTTTGGTGGAACTTACAAAGCAAACAGCTAGGCCAACAGGGCCTTTACCCCAAGTCCACTGTGCTTAGCATCTTTGTTTCTACATTAGCCCACTTTGCTTACAAAGCCCATGGATTCTGGCAGTAAAAGGGCATGGTCATGGTCTCTACTTAAACTGTGACCATCTGGTAGAGTTTTGATGGCAGGGACCAGCAGCAAGTCCAACAAACTGGCCTTAAGTGATTTTCTTAGTGGGAAGTCTACTTTTACAACACTGATTTTTCTTCCCAAATTAACAGGAGGGAGGCCATCCCAAACCGCGTTACAGGTTAATTAACCCTTTTTATGAAACATTTGACTTCTAAGTGATTAACATACTTATAGTGCTCTAGCTTCAGAATAAATAATGTTTGTGCTTTGTATGGAGACACAGGCAGCAGGGCCATTCTCACCTGGTTTCCTAATTTGTTGTCATCTTCTCTTATTTTCTTTTATGTTCTCTAAGTTCTCACTGCCCTAGATAACTTTATGAAGAAAGCAGCCTGGGCCAGTGAGGAGTTACTAAACCACATTTTAATCAATAAATAGGAACATTTGTTAACCATTTATTAGGTGGAAAAAAATAGGAACGTATAGCGAATTCCAAAGAAAACGACACCTTGAAAAGGAAGTGCCAAGATCTTTACCCTAAGTATCATTCATAGAATCAGAGGTAACAAAATATTATTTAGGAAAAAAAAAACAACTTGGAATATTTGAAAGAATTCCAGATGTGTCTGAAATAAAAAACCACTATTTTGCACATGAAGTAGAAACAGATTGTTCTTCAGCACCTGTGTGGATGGTCTGACAAACCGATGAACAGAAGAACTGCGGCGTACAAAACTGTTATTTAAGTTCACATTATGGGCCAAGTTCACACCCCCCACTCCCTGGCTCAACAGCTCTTGCTCTGATCTGATTCCCAGGGAATCTCCATCCCCAGGGCCCTCATCAGCTGCTTTCAGGTACCTTGAATGTTGAGGTGTTGGTGAGGGTATGAGGACAAGCCTGGGGAGGCCTTGGTATCTGACTCAGCTCCCGCTTGGTTTCTATCTCAGACAGTAGCTTTTGTCCTTGGTGTGGCTCCATTTACCACAACTCTCCATGGTCCTAGCTCCTGGGGGCAGCGCTACCAGTTCTTACTGATGACCAGGGAACCAGCCTCCTCTTACAGCCTCCCAGTCACACCTGAGGTAAGAGATTTCAACTGCTTGGCTCTTTTTCTTAATTACCCACTTAAGTGAGCTCCCTGTATTGACCCTTCTCCATCGGAACACCGAAAATGGCTTGTTTTCTGGACCAGATCCTGCATACTAAAATACTATTTCCTCACTTCCCTGGGAAGGTCTGCTTAAGAATCTGTCCGAAGCCAATGAAAACAACCGCTCTACAAAACAGCCACCTTTTCCAGGCAGGAGAGGCAATGAGTGTCTTGGCTATGCTTGTTTGTCAAGAACTGGAATTCTCTTTGCCAAGTCAAACTAAGACTGACTTTCCATTAATGCCACCACCAAAAAGTCTTCTCCAGAGGTCATTTTCATAGCACACACTCATGTGATGACCAGGTAAAGGAACTCTGAACAGAAAATTAACCTTAAAAGGAAAGAACAAAGCCATCCAATGAACAAAATTATTAAAAAAAAACTCTAGGAATGCAGAATATCAGACATTGCCAATCAACTTCCTCCCTGCTCAATCAATACACAAATCTCTTTAACATTCCCGGGTATTTTGAGAGCATCAAAACAATTAAAATAGAATAACAACTGGACTCATGGATGAGTGCCTGCAGGCTCTCAGCTGGAAGGGAGGGATGTCAACGGCCAAAGTAGAGCTCTTTGGTGAGCATGGAGACCATACATGGGATCTGCTTCTTCTCGTTGAAGCAGGGATCGTCACACTGGGACTCGAAGTGCCTGGCCACCCTGTCGTTCACTCTGGTCAGGATCTGCATGATCTCCAGGTCTTTGCCATGCTCGTCCAGGATGGAACAGAGGGCCTGCACAAACCAGGAGCCTTTTCCTGGGTTCCTCCATGAGTAATAGCCTTCACGGGGGGGGGGGGGGTTTGAAGAGAGAGAGAGAGAGAGAGAGAGAGGATCCATTAGCCAACCTTGCAAGCTACATCACCCCCTGGGAAGAATGGACTCTCAGCATTGTGGGGCCTGGGTGTCCATTTGGACATAATCTTCCTTTCGTCTGCACTAAGGCGCCAATGAGACGGCTGTTTTGAGAGCGAGCATCAGGGTGTGAAGATGCTCAAGAATCTTTGGGTTTTCCAGCACGGAAACCAGTGACAGACATGTGACTAAGGGCCCATGATGGCAGATACTGCCAGAGGCCCTCCTGTGTCTGGGATACCTGAGACACCCAAGAGAGTGAGGGGTGTGGAGAGTCCCCTAGGGAAGGTGGAGCTGCAACACCTCATCACCCTTTTGGAATGGGTGCTACTTTCTAGCCCAAGCCCAGGAGAGAGAGTTTTAAGAGCTGCAGAGATTTTGGGGTATGTCTTTACTGTCAGGAGACACAGAATGAGGAGTAGGGCCTGTTGAAAAAATGTAGAGGCAGGTGCTGCTGGCAGCTTTAGGGCAGAGACAGGGGAGGGCTCCTGATCCAGAATGGCAGGCACTGTCAGGCAAGAAGTGTGTTTCTCATGGACCATACAAGCTCTTTTTCTCTGGAAAAGAAAGCTGACTCCGGTGGGTTTTCCTGGGTCTGGACTCAAATGTCTTAAAAGGAAACCCTAGCAGACTCAGGTGCTGAGGAAGGAACACCTGACACAGCAGGTCCCTGGGAACCCAGGACCTCACAACAGCTGCTAGCTTTAGTCACCTAACAACGCAGAGGTCCACTGGACTCTAACCCTGAGCATGGCTCCCCACTTCTGTGACTTCCAGCCATCTCTGACTCTAAAGGAATCTAAAATTGCTTCTTGCAAATGGGACACCGGTGAGAAAGTTGAAGATCAAGTTCCCCCAGCACTTTAGCACAGCTGATGGAGGACTCACCCCTGCACGTCCAAATGGTTACCTTGGAACCCCTAAAGGACAGAGGTCAGAGGACACAAGCCTAGAGAGTCAGTCCACACCCAGCCTCACCAGGTCACCATGAAGAGTGAGTCCTACAAATCAATGCAGTGACATGGCTTTGTTTCATTCATTATCTTGGGACAGACACTCTGGTGAGAGGGTTGCCTTTGCCTGTGACATTAAACAGTGTCCACCGTGTTGTCTAGTGTCTCAGACTAAGCAGCAAAGCTACGGAACTGTGGCCCCTTCACCTGAGGAGAGGGACGAGTGCATGGCTCTCAACGACAGCAAGAGCCAACACAAAGCTGTGTTCGGTTCACACAATGAGTTGTGTTTACGCATCATCCTGATAACTAGTCCAGATCCAGTCAGATGAGAACTGGACCAGCATCACTGGCATCCTCATCACCTTGTTATGACTTAAGGGTCAATCAGCAGTAGGCACACAGTCCTAAGCTATAGTGCAAAGTGTCCTTAGGATTCACACCAGCAGTGAACACACTGTCTGCCACCAGCCCAAGCCAGGAGCGATAGTGTAGCCACTAAACAATACACTCGTTTGTCTATAGGCAGGGTCTCATTCAACACAGTGACCTGCTAAGGATGCATGGGCTATCATCTAACTGGGCGTGGCATTCTTGTTGACCTTTGGCCTCTAGGGCTCCAAGGGAACCATTTGAAGATACAGATGTCCTCCTGTGACTCTTTGACCTGAAACAGTTCCCTTGAATTTTTTTTTTTAAGTCAGGGCAAAGATTGGGCTGCTTGGCAGCGCACACAGCCACCACAAGCTCCTCGGTAGACTTTCCAAATACTGATCATGTTGAGCTATAGACTGGATGGTACCCCAGCCCCATCCTCCAGTTTACAGCCTCCAATGTGACAGCCTTCGTGGAATGATGTTAACAAGGTCAGCGGGGTGGGTCCCTGTCCCAGTAGTATTAGTGTCTTTGTGAGAAGACAGGCCAGAGCACCTCCTCTGCCATGTGAGGAAGAAGGAAGACCATTTATAAAGCAGGAAGAGAGCCCTCTTCTGAGCCCAGTCGGCCGTGAAACAGATGTCTGTTGACACATGCCAACCGACACACCTACGATCCATTCAGTCTCTCGGCTAGAAGCACATGGGGCCATCTGACCTAGAATGGACCTATGACTGAACTCAGGAGTCAGTTACTGCGGTAACATGTAGGAAGGAGTGCCTTCCTTCCTGGTCCCTGTAGAGGAGTCTGTCCTCTTCCTCCAGCGCCTAAAGACTTACTTTAAACACCTACAACTGGGTTTATTCACAGTGATGTCTGCCAATGCTCGAAGGGCCAACCTCCCAATGGCAGGAAGACAAACACACTTTCTATCTCATGCAGTGCAGCCGTAGATCCTGCCAGAGCTGGGTTGGTTTTCCAGATGTACTGACTAACACCGTGCTTTTGCAAAAGTCCTACATCTGGGGAATTCTCATTCTGCCAGGGTCTATGCCCAACAAAGAAACGGCTTGTACTGAACACACTCCGGCCAACACAGGGCTTGGTAAGTAGCAAGAAGTCACCCTCATTCTGGGCATTGTGTGGCACCTGCCATGGTCACAGCATAAGCGTCCTGGTCTGAGGCTCAATACAAAGCATCTGGGTCCTGAAATTTGAGCCTGGACACACTTTTGAAGCTCACCTAAGCTCAATTAATTTTTCAGCTGCCAAAGCAACAGTGACTTTCTCTGTTAATTATACAATTATTATAAGGATGATGGGGGGGGATGGTTTGTAATTATTTAAAATGGCATTCTTATAATAGCATTGTTACTTATATGTACAATTATGGCTTATTGTGAAACTCTTGCAATTACTATTAATACCAGTAAGTGACACAGAAGGAGAGGAATCCACTTGCTAGGGAGAGAAATGAATTCTGTGGTGGGCAGAATAATCCTCCTCAAAGGTGGCCAAGCCTAATCCGGAACCTGTGACTGCGCTACCCGACACGGCAAGGAGGACACTTTAGATGGCATTAAAATGATCCCCTCGAGACGGGAAATGTCCTGGATTGCACAGGCAGAGTTTGTCTCAGAGAGGAAGGAAAGATGAGGGGGAAAGAGTGTGCATGTGGGGTAGGTAGAGAGAGAGAGAGAGAGAGAGAGAGAGAGAGAGAGAGAGAGCGAGAGAGCGAGCGAGAGAGAGAGAGAGAGAGAGAGAGGGAGGGACAGAGGACAGGGCCGAGTGAGCTGAGGTTTCTGGCTTTTGATGGGAGACAGGGCCACAAGCCAAGGGATATAGGAGGCTCTAATGTGTTAGGAAAAATAGGAAACAGATTTCCCTCTGAGCTTTCAGCAGAGAGGCCGCCGGGCCAATTCATTTATGGACTCGGACTTCTGAAACACTGAGGTAAGACGTTTATGTGACTTGAATCATTTTGTCTGTAGGAAAGCCTGGGCATCTATCATCCTACATGCCTGGGCATGAGCGGAAGTGCTTCAGACTTCAGAACGTTTGGGTAGGTTTGACTGGTTGCCAATTGATGGGGAATGTACTGTGTATGTTTATCTTATTAATTGTTAAATAAAATACTGTTTGGCCAATGAGACAGCAAGTTAGACAGGACTGGAAGTCAAAGAGGGTTCTGGGAAATGTAGTAGAGAAGTGCTGATCCAGGCAGGAAGTGACATAGCAAGGAGACTCATATTTAAGCCTCTTCTAGTGGCACAATGTGATCCACTGACAAGGAGGGACGCCAATAAGGAGTCTGATAAGATAAGTCTTATAAAATATATAGATGTATGATAATTGAGACTGAGCTAACAGATGAGAATCCCCGTCATTGGCCAAGCAGCTTTGTACCTAATACAAGTTTCTGTGTATTCATTTGGGCCTAACTCAGGCTGGTGGCTGGCGTAAAGCTCACACAAGGCGGTGGGGCTCAGTGGCTTTTGACGGAAAGATTTATCGTAACAGCCAATGTTTTTTCTTCTTTGTGCGTGTGTTGTATGTGTCTGTGCATGTGCACCTGTGTCCATCTTGGGTGTCTTCCTCTACTGGATCTCCACTTTATTCTTTGAGACAGACTCTTGGAACTTGCCAGCTCAGCTAGAGAGGCAGGCCAGTGTGTCTCTAGAGCACTACCTGCACACCCAGTGCTTGGGCACATGTTGCTATGTCTGGCTTTTATGAAGGTGCTGGGGATTCAGTCCCGGGTCCTCATGCTTGGACTGCAAGCAGCTTACCACAGTGAGCCTCATTTCCAGTAAGGAAATACACACCTAAAATGCTACAGAATCCAGACTTTTGAGCAGGGTACTGACACTGTGTCAAACTTGGGGTGCTAAAACTGTAATTAATTACTGTAACAGAATGCTGAGGGAGGAACATGGATTGGTAAGGCCAGCAGACAGTGGACAGAGTACCTGGAACTGTGGAGTAAGCGAAGAGAAAGTCAGCTTCCACTGGGATCTTGTACCGGGGGTTAGCATCAGTTTCGCTGATAGGCCCGGAGTCGGCCTGGACCCCGTCATCGAGCTCCGTCCCTCGGCATGCCTAAAGCGTATCGAAGGAGAGGTCACACATGGGCTGGTACCAGAACAGATCATGCTGTTCCTGCCCTACCCCAGAAGCTCAGCGGCCAGCTGATTAAGCGATAAGCACCCGGTGGGAGTCAAATTACAAAGCGAAGCATAGCGATGCCTTCCAGAAATGAAGCGAGTACCTGTGCCAACCATTTCCAGGCAGAAAGCCCCAGCCCCACGCTGCACACCCCACAGAAACACTGCCCCTGCACCCCGGCATCATATCATTGCTCTACACCTCTGACCCCTGTAAAGCACCTGAATGAAGAAGAGTTTGGGTTTCTCTAACAGGGTTTTGCACCGATCCCCCCTGAAATGAGCCGTCAGATCCTTTATTGGCGTCACGCCATCTTTCCCGTAAATCAGATTCTCTTCTCCGTGGCTCAGCAGGACGCAGGCGAAGCAGGCTGAGTTGCTGTGGTCCTCCTCAGAGGCTGCAGGGAAGCAATGTTAGCAATGTTGGCACTGAAGGCTCCAGGGACCGGGCTCCACAAACAGATGACAGTTTGGGGCCTGGGAAGAGCACGGAATCCCCTTTTCAAAGGACCGGGTTGGGCCACTTCCCTGAAGAGACTGAACTGCTGGGGAGAATTCTAGGATTTCTCTCAATGAGAACCCAGGCACTGGGGAGCAGTGGGCCGATTCTGTGACACCAAAGAGATTAGTTAACCCCCATTTTCTCATCTGTCTATAAAAAAAGAGGTGGTTATGGTAGTTATAAAAGAGTTCCTACTGGCCGGGCGTTGGTGGCGCACGCCTTTAATCCCAGCACTCAAGAGGCAGAGGCAGGAGGATCTCTGTGAGTTTGAAGTCAGCCTGGTCTACAGAGTCAGTTCCAAGACAGGCTCCAAAGCAATACAGAGAAACCCTGTCTCGAAATCCCCCCCCAATAAATAATAAAATAAAATAAATGAAATTAAATTTTAAAAAATTCCTATTTATTGGACACAGTGTCTCACTGTGTAACTCTGGCTGGCCTGGAACTTGCTACGGAGACCAGGCTGGTCTTGAACTCAGCCTGCCTCTGCTTCCTGAGTTCTGGGATTAAAGGCCTGCTCCACTACATCCAGCTACAGTTACTATTTTTAAAGCCAAAGTATTTGTTAAAGAAAACATTAGGCCAAGCAGAATAAGCCAGTCATGAAAAGGGCTTCACTCTGGTGAGAAGCCAAAATAGAAAGGAGGGTGTCAGTGGCCAGGGGAGGGGACACAGTGGGTGGTTAGTATGTAGGTTGCTTTGGTTATGGAAAATGAAAAGAATTCTAGAAGTGACTGCTTAACTCCGCTCAACTGCTCTCTTTAAAATGATTAAAACAACGACTTTGTATTACACAACAGAAAACAGAACGTATACCCGAGGGACTCTAAGTCAGCATGCCACAGACACAGGCATGTCCATGTCTACTGCCGCACCAGTCACAGTGGCCGGGGAACAGAACTAGCTCATCAACAGAAAGCAGGTAAGGAAAGCGTGGCCCAGAAGTACAGCAGGGATTTGAGCATCCGTAAAGAAAACTGAAATCACGACATCTACAGGAAAACACATGGAACCAGAGATCACTGCGTTAAGTGAAGTTAGCGAGCCTGGAACACAAAGACCCCGGGGTTTTCTCTGGTGTGTGGAGCCTAGTTTTAAAAGTATGCAAACACGTATGTGTGTACTTTGATATGTGTGTTGGTAGGTTATAAAACTAGAAAAGGGATCATGAGAGGGCAGCAGAGACGTTAAAGGGGAGGGGACAATGGAAGGCATGGGCTAAGAAGACAGGAGGAGGGGGAGGGGCGGGGCACTGTGGAGCTGAGTGGGGGTGGGGAATGAGAACAGAGCGTAAGGACACACAAATATATGAAACCCACTACTTTGCATGCTAAACTAGAAAGTTAATAGAAAAAAAATCAGATAGCCATCAATATAGGAATCAGGAAAGGAATCACGGGGCACGCAGCAGACTGTGTGTAGTATACACTCTTGATCACCAAGCTCTCTCTCTGATCCCAAGAAGTCAATTAAAAGGAAAATAAGATTACACAAAACCTTTCTTTTTCAGATATGCAGTTAAGGAAAGCTGAGCCCTCTGCTGTCTGTAGGTCCCTGTCTAATGAGCAGGTAGCATTCTAGTTTCAGATACTTGTTCCAAGTGTGGGAGTGTTGGGAGAGATGTTGGGCTCCAGCCCCCACAGGGTCTCTGTGAGTTGCTTGTCAGCCAATAATCACAGGTGCATCCTGTTTTCTAGTCCTGGATAACAGCCTTGGCAGTACCCCACTGGTATAAAAAACACAAGCTCTTATACCTGGGGTTTTTCCACTGTGCTGTAAGTCTGTATATAAGGCTGCTCCCTCCCTGCAACAGAGGTCAGACACACATTCACCTAGCACAAACGACCAGATGTCTCTGCTTTTAACTAAATCTCCAGGCTTTTGCCCAATACCCTGGACTTGCTCATGGCACGGGCGCCACATGGGAGTGCCCAATGGCGTCCCTTAATGCATATCCAACCCATGGCTTAAGGACAGCATGTGTCATAGGACAGCTATGAGCTCAAGCTCAATGCAAAGTGGGAAACTTACCTAAAACATTATGATTCTTCTAGGACTGATTTTGTAACTCTGCATGGTTCATGAGCATGGACTTTGCAGATGCCAATGTCATTGTCACAATGTTAAAAGGGCATAGCTCTTCAAGTCTGGTCTAGTCCCTAATTTGCTCTCCAGCCTCTCTCTCACCCTTCCCAAAGTCTACCCACATGATCACAATGTGGCCACATCACAGAGCCAGAGCATGTCACTCTCGACCCAAGGGGTAGGACAGACAAGGACAGCCCACACTCACCTTTTCTAAGCAGGTCTTGCATCTTCGCACAAGAGCAGTCATTGTAGACAACCACATCAAAACCCAGGCTTCGGAAGCACTTGAAGAGGGCCTCTGCATCTTTGTCTGTCCCGTTCCGGACGTCCATACCTGTGGGGGAAAAGCAAGGAGAGGGCAGGTTCTGATCAGACCAGGTGCTGGGTGGCTCTGCAGCATTGGTGCCGGGAGCAGAAAGCACCTTCCGATGTTACAGCTTAAATGCATGAGGGGACTAGAGGAAAACTCAAGAGGACTGGGGTGGGGGGCCCTTGGCCTCCGAACAAGATGAACTTCCCTATGGTAACGGGAAACCACACTGGACTTGTGATGGCCAGCGTTGGCTGCCAATGTCATGCTCTAGAACCACTCAATTAAAGAAGCCATTCTATTACAGCAATAGGGAAAGAAACTAAGACAGGCTCCTTGAGTCTCAGCACTCTCTTAGCTACAGCACGAGGTAGAGCCTAGATGGAAAATTCTCTGCACCCCTGCCTCCTGGACATGGGATACCCCTGGCAGGGTTTGGCATAGCCACTCTGTTGTCACCCACCTATCACTTTGTCACCCACCTGTCTATCACTTTGTCACCCACCTGTCACTTGGTCACCCACCTGTCACTTTGTCGAAGTTCTTGTTGTTTATAATGATACATTTCCCCATCTTCTCAAAATCCATTCTGTACAGGTGCGTGGGCACGCGGTCCCGGGTGGTCTTGACGGGGCACGGAGGGGCATTTTTCTTCTTTTTCCTTGGGTTACAGAAAGTCAGTTAGAGGCGCTGGGCAGCTGTGTGCTGAGGGAAGCCACGGTATTTGTGAAGAGACGACCCACGGTGGGCAGACAGCTCTGCTTAACTGCCATGCTTAAATGGGACAAAGCTCCAGGGTAAATTTCAACAGATGTCAGAAAGTGCAAATCACAGTCACAGTGTGCCTCCCTGAGTGGCCACAGTGGGAAAACAGACGGCTCAGCATCTGCCATGAACTTGCGGAGCTGGTGGGGACCTATCAGGGTGTCCACAGTGTCCCAAAGTTACACAAACCTTGCAGCACAACAACTGCCCCGGGGCAGGCCAAGGTTTACTAGAAGATAGGGCCACACTGTGCAACGTGCCCCAGGGAGGGAATAAGCCACAGTCCTGCTTACAGTAAGAGAATGAAGTGAGGAACACTCGTGCAGCAGAGTAAAACAGAGACGGAATGAACCAGGACAGCAGGGAGCACACACGTGGAAACCATAAATGACCACAGCAAAGAGCCGGCGGCACACAGGAGGGCTGCACAGGCATAAGCGCCTCATACGGCGTCTGGAGGGATTGCGAAGGCAGAGGACCTCAGGCGCCTTCAGGGATGCCCAAGTCTATGTCTTTATATCAAGAAGGTGGTATGTGGCACGGTGCAGGCCTGTGTGCATGTATGTGTATGTACATGTGTGCATGTATGTGTATGTACATGTGTGCATGTATGTGTGTGTACATGTGTGCTCACATGTGTGTGTGTACATGTGTGCATGTATGTGTATGTACATGTGTGTTCATGTGTGTGTGTACATGTGTGCATGTATGTGTGTACATGTGTGCTCACATGTGTGTATGTACATGTGTGCATGTATGTGTATGTACATGTGTGTTCACCTGTGTGTGCTTGGAGATGCCACCCATGTCAGATGTCTTCCCTCTATTGCTTTCCACTGTTTTGTTTTGTTTTACAACGGAGTCTCTCCATGAGCACGGAGCTGGCTGTTTCAGCTGGACTGGCTGGCCAGTGAGCCACCTGGATCCACCAGTCTCAACCCCCGGCTTGGGTTGCAGACACTTGCCGCCATGTCTAACTTTTACATGGACGCAGGGGAACTCAGGTCTGTAGGTTTGCACAGCAAGCTCTTTGCCCACGGAGTCATCTCTTACATTCCCATATGTTCTTTTTTGTATGGACTGGTGGCGGTTATACACATATGTTAACTAAAGTTCACCTATGTAGACACCTTTCTGTCTGGATGAATATTTGACCAGCGATTACACAAATGGGGAGGGGGGAACAATTTTTTAAAGAATTGTTTTTAAAAGAATTGTTCCCCTCCCCCAACAACTATGGTTCTATTGGGCAAAACCAGTGTGGTGCAGCATGGACGTCATGGAATGGGCAGAGGACCAAACGGGACCTAAGAAGAGGAAGAGGACCAAACGGGACTCAAGAGATGGAGTCTTGCTGGTCTCCTCTCCAAAGTGAGCTTCAGGGAGACAAGAGTTTCATCTGATCTGAAAAATTACCGAACGCCCCCACACCTATAATGACACTTGCCATGTAACGTGCTGAGTATATAGTCCTTATACAGCTCTCCCCAAAGACAGTAGAGCCACAGAATCGGTGAAAACCCAGCTGGCACTTGATTCATGTGCCTTTGAGGCTGGTGTCTGGAGTTTCCCTGGACTCTTCTCCAGGGCGGTGTCTCGGCATCTCTGAAAGGCGTGTTCTCTGTCCTCCCCACTACTCCTGTGGTCCAGCTGCAGATGAGCTCAGTATCTCCAACTGCAAATTCTTTCTCTTTCCAGTACCTGAACATGACTCCATCCTCCATCTTTACAAGGTCACGTTTCTTCCACAGTACGATTTCATTTTAAAGAGCATCCTCGACCAGAAGCTGACCTCTGCTTCCCTTTCTGTCTGTCCATGCCTCTTTGTGGTGACATTATTATTTATGATCTCATAAGACTTGCCTGGAGATCAGAATGCAAAACTAGCCACAGCCATAGAAGCTGGGCAGTGGTGGCCACACCTTTGATCCCAGGATTCAGGAGACAGAGGCAGATGGATCTCTGTGAGTTCAAGGCCACCCTGGGCTACTTGAGAGAGAATCAGACTAATAGAGAAACAGAGCTCACACCTTTAGTCCCAGCACTAGAGAGAGTATAAGGAGCTCAGTGCAGTCTCAGGAGCAGTCTGAGATTTGGCAAGGAGCAGTGCATTCTGGAGATGCAATCAGAGGTTCGGTGGATCGCAGCTTCAGTCTAAGCATTGGTAGGGGTGAGCGCTCTCTAGCGGCTCGGCCACTTTGTTCTCATCTTCCTGTCCTTGGACAACAGGGCTATGGGACACTGGGTTTGGGGTAGGTAGACTCTGGCCAGTGAGTCACTGCCCTTTGCAGAGCTCTAACTTCCTTTTCTTATTAAATGGAGCTAAGTCACATCTAGTAGGTACAGCCCACTTGAATTGGTCAGGGCTGTTTAGAGGAACAGAACTGATACAACTATTATACACTAAAAGAGGCCCCATCAGACTGCCTGGCAGGATACAGCTGAAGGAGTCCAATGATGCTCACAGCACAGACAGATAATTTAGTAGTCACTCAGTGCAGGAGCTGCTGAAGGAGACCTGGGTATTCCTAGAGAGCTGCTACTCCCCAGGCCACACTGGGAGCCTAACAAACACTGGTTCCTGTATCTGCCAAGCAATCAGCAGCAGCAGCAGCAGAAACAGGGCAAAGAAACTCCACAGTGAGAGAGAAGGACAAAGGAGCAACGGAGCAGTCTTACTTCTTCGGCATCCTTTTTATAGCGGTGCTATGAGACGCTGCAGCTCGGAGTTGAGATGGGGCTTCCCACGTCACTTAGGGGAATCAAGACGCAGTCTTGATGATAAGTGACTCTCAGTGGCCGCAAGCTGACATTTAAAACCGCCACCCACCACTGTGGAAGGGAGACAAGGCGGCCTGAGTCTTCCCATGGAGTTTTCCTGAGTGTAAGGCAAGTGAGGTTGTATATGTTCAAGGACATGCCACAGGGGTAAAATTCGAATTCTCACTGCCGCCTTCTTAGTGGTCCCACAGACGGTGTCCCCTGCGTGTAATTAAAATGTACACGCACAGCCCCCCCCCCCCGGGGCTTTTTGGGGGCCAGCCGGGGGGGGGGGGGGGGGGGGGGCAACAGCCATAGGTATCAGTAACAACAATTAACATTTGTCAGAGCCTATGGAGCTCTGACAGATGCATTTCCTCACCGACTCTTAATTCAACTCATAGGTGGGTAGTTAACACCAGGATTCCATTTAAAGACGAGTGACTGAGGCTGGAGTGGTTAACTGGCTGGCTTGGGGGAGAGTCCAAATGTCCTACAGACTTGTCACTCATTAGACAATTGTGACCCTCAGATGGAACCAAGCACAACAGCCTTCTAGATAAAGCAACTGTGATGAGCTACCTGTTCTCAGAGAGGTCATTCATGGTTCTAGCTGTGGTATCATATTATTTATGATTTATTCAAGCTTGCCTGAGGATTTAGAAAACAAAGTGAGCCACAAGCCATAGAGAGCAGGCAGTGGTGGTACACACCTTTAATCCCAGGACACAGGATTAAGAGGTAGACCAATCTCTGTAATTTCAAGGCCATCATGGCCTACACAAGAGTGAAGAGTAACAGAGCTCAAGCCTTTAATCCCAGCACCTGGGATCACATGCCTTTAATCCCAGCATTAGGGAGGTATATAAGACAGGAATACGGTCTCAGAGCTGGCATTCAGTCTCAGGATCTCCAGCCACCTTGAGGAAAGCATAGCAGTCTAGGATTACATCTGAGGAGCCAGGATGACCTATCAGTCTGAGGTAGAGTAAGAACTAGTGGCTGGCTGCTTTGCTTCTCTGATCTTCAGCTTGAAGATTGAACCCCAATATCTGTCTCTGGCTCTTTTATTTTTCATGTTACATCTATCTATGCCCCAGGATTCACAAAGTGGTGTGCAGGGGGCACTTGGACAGAGTCCACTAATTCCAGCTCCCAGGCCCCTCAGCTGGGTCAGCAGCTGGCTTGGGGAAAATGGAGGTGTGGATGTTTGATTTTCTCAGTGGTAAACACAGCCCTTGTTGTCACTTAGGGCTGAACAGGGTAAGGTGCGTGAAAGTGCCTTGAAACTATCAAGTTCAAAACAAATGCAGCCTTCTTTCCTTGTTAGCTCCTGCCACCTACAGGCCAGGAGCCTCATCGGGTCAGTGCACACTCCCCAGGTCAAGGGCAAGCTGGAGTTCAGGTCGGCTGGGATGGGATTCCCCATGAATCAGCCTCCTGGTGTGCGCTTCCTCCACACACCACCCTCTGAGCAAATGCCGCCTTTAATGCTGAATCCAGGAGATGGCCCACTCATCTCTCTACTTACTTCTGGGGAAGCTGGTGCATTAGCCATGAGTTCCCCTAACCCCTCAACAAAGGCAGCTCTGTGCCTGGCTTTATCTAGCATCTTCTGTGACTCCTTGGAAAAGACCAGTGGGAAATAAACCAGAGAACGCTTAAGGCAGAGTAGGAGTCTTAGCATATCAAGCTCATTTTAGGGCACAATTCCTGCACCCTACAGCTGACCGAAGGCCATCCAAGGACTATGACAGTGGCAGGATGCTCTGCAGGAGAACACACTTCATTCGGAACAACCTGAACAGGCACAGGTGGAGAAGCGGGGCTATCGGGATGGTTCGGCAGACAAAAGGTGACCTGAGTTCCATCCCTGGACTCCACACGGTGGGAAGGAAAAACTGACTACAGCAAGTAGTCGTCTGATCCTCACACACAGACCACGGTACGAGCATGCAGGCGTACACACATGCACAGGTCGCTCCCTGCCACACATGCATTGTAATGTAAAAACCCCAACAATTTCTAGAAAGACGGCCGTGTCTCAAACACACGGTGACTCCTATATTCTAGCTGCCATTAGGTCATTCCCAGTAATGAGCAAAACCAAACCAGCAAGCGTCTTTTGTAAGACAA